TGCTTTGTTTATAGGCGAATTTCTATTGACCAAGTCCAGATCTTAACTAAAAACCTTGCTAGGTGCGTAGTAATATGTACTTGGGTACTTATACTAAATCTTTCACAGTTGAACAATTAGAAACCGATCTATGTTCTGTATATCACATCGTCTCTTTATCATAGAGACGAAGCCTTAATCAAATTTTTCTGTTTCTTTCCAAAATTATTTATTTATTCGTAAATATATCATTTGTCAGCTTCAAAGTAATCCCCATCCCATTCCTCGATCCCATGTATAAAACCATTATATTAAGATCTTGTACGGATGTCGTCTTTATCGTCCACTTTGGACTAGCTAATATTTGTTCCTAGACCTAGCGCTAAGATCATCAAGTTCTGCAACAATGTTGATCTGGATCGGAAAACAAAAATTTTGTAATTCATTAGTCTGTACCTGAAGACGTGAACGAGTATTATGCAGCCTGATAATCACAGCCGCAATCTTCTTGCTTACTATTTTTTTATTTTATTTTATTTTTTTATTTTTTGCTATCCACTCGATAGCTGCCAGGTTAACTGATCCAATGAATGACATATATACATATATATTTATTTTTTTTATGTTTGTTAACGAACCTCATCTTCCGACACGGAAGGCGACGCCAGACGCAACTGCTGTTAATTTCGCAAACTTTTTTCCTATATTTTTTTTTTTTTTTGCTTTGAATTTGTCGCAGCGAAATTTTGTTGTTAGCCAAATTTCAATGTCAGTGGTACTCGAATCTCATGTGCATATTAATGGCTTTATTTAATTGCTTCAATCCATTTAAATTGCATTTAAGTAAGTCTTTGTGACAAATATAATCGCTTATAATATAGGTAATCTTATCAAGTCTAATTGTTCAACTGAGTTTACGTATGCTAGCCTACTCCACATTCGCTATATATAGTTTTCACACATATATATCTGCTAATTGGTTGGCTTAATGAAGGTGAATATGCTAATAGATATTAGTCATAGCCTTGTTGTTTTGGATTTTTATATTGATTTATTTGTAGGGAAATTGGAAAAAAAACATGTGAGAAATCAGTTTCTTAAAAGACAATTTTAGGGAAAAAGTAAAACTTTAAATAAATAATATAAAAAAAAATTCAAAGGTAAAGTCAAGCTAAATTTGTAACGAAAATCCTTAAAATTCTTTTGAAAAGGGAAAAACGAAAATAAAGTAATGGGACATTTAGGAAAGAAATTCGGAAATGAACTCTAGAGAAATTCGAAGCGGAATCGAATTTGAGGGGAAGATATGGAATAAACTGCAAAGAAATACCCAACGAATCATCCAAGGATTTCCAAAAAAGCAAAGCAAATTGATAAAGAAAAAAATAAGCTTGATCCACTTTAAATCTATCTCTTAATATAAAGACATCATAATTGTCTTGTTTAATTGCCTGCTATTGACAAAAGTTTTCATTAATAAATCGACGATATAAATGTTGTTTATTTCTGTATGTTCATTGCGGTTTGTTTACAATTGTTGTATGTGTCCATTGCAATTGTTGTTATTGAACATGAAACAAAATGTCATCGAACTGTGGAGCGACTGTTGTTGTTGTTGCTGTTGTTGTTATTTGGCTCCAATATGGATTGCGTGTCTGCCTTTCATATTTTCAATATACCAACGAACTACGAGTATACTATATAAAGATATATGTATAAATACGTTTTAATTCAATTTTCTGTTTCTCTCGACTCATGTTGCGCTGTTTGGTATTCAAAAACGTTGATGACGTTTCGAAGTGTTCGAAGTTAACAGACAGCAATTCAATAGAATAAGACAACAACAACAACAACAAAAATTCAGAAAATTAATAAAAGGAAAAGAGAAAAAAACAGTCAACAATCAATTGTTTAAATAAATTTGTCAGCCATAGCAGAAGATACCCAATTCAGCGGGCAATGCTCGGCAAGGAGGTCAAATATAATGTTTTATGTATTTTCATATAATATCTATGCATATTTTAAGCAATTTAAACAGAACTAAAAATGTATTTATAAATTGTCAATTTGCATTGGGGTAATTTTCACGTTGAGTAATAATTTAAGTGGAAATAGCACAGGAAGCTTGGAAAAAGTGAAATAACAAAAATAAACAAGTTAGAATGCCGGAAAGGAAGTGCCCGACTAGGAAATACCTCGAGTTGTAAACTTTAACTGCTTTACCAACTTACTAGTCTGCCTAACTACTAGAGACGAAGAGATAGTTGAGGTTAGCTAACTATGCTCTTATATTTCTATAAATTTCTATGCATAGAAAGGACTAGACCAGCATATCTCTTGCTGTCTTCAAGAAAATAGTAAAGCTAAAGAGCATTGCCATCTAGTCTTTTAGGCAAAGCTCTTTAGTCTGCACTACTCTTGGTCAATTGTCTCTTATACTCTTGTACACATATCTACATATATAATCCCGCTTACACATATGCAATATATATACCTTACTCTACTTTAATTCACACCTCCTTCTGTCTGTTTCATATAGTGTAACACAATTAGTATATCCCCTCTAGACAATTCTTCAATGAGTATGGAGTAATTGAACAGAAAAATTAGCTTGTCACATTAGACGACAGTAAAGCTAATTAAAAAACTCAACTCATTGATTTCATGAGCTTCTCAAATTGAATTGAGCTGTCTAATTTGTCGATTGTCTGGATGTTACAATTGCAATATAATTCTGTGTTCGTGTGTGTGTGTTTTTTTTTTTTTTTAAATTTTAGTTTGCTATTTTATTTGTTTATCGAGGCTTAGAGCAGTATTTGCATTAGGTTTTGGCATTTAATTCGCTTTTATTTTGTTTATTGCTTTCCTGATGACCTTTACACGATTTCCGATAATATTGTAAGGTAATGGGTTTATATGTTAACTAACTGTATATTTAAAATCAATTTAACTGCAGCTTATGAGTCATAAATTCCTAATACATGTCGTAGCATTTCTCACATAAACTGTATTGTCGAGAAGCTATGTAATTTATTCTAGGGATTCTTTAAGATTAAAGTTACTAATATATAACTAAAGTCATACAATAGATGAATTACATATGTAGTGGAGCACTTATTATTTTGAAACAATAGTTGACGTAATGCGATTAAAATGTAGATTTAAGGGAAGCAAATGATTATTTATTAAAGCAGTCCCATTTAGTTAGTTAAGACTTTACGATGTGCGTATAGTTCAATAGACCATGGTGTATTTGTTATATCGGAGTATTCTATAGATATTTCTTTTAATATATCATTAATCTCTATAAAAAGTATCGATAGTTTTGTAAGAAATTTAGAAATTTCTGATATTTAGCACCAAGTTTATGTAAAGTCTCTTATGGTTTATATTTCCGATAAGAGAGATCGAGACTTTTGATCGATAGTATCGATAAGCATTATGTAATTGATCAAAATGAAAATGAAAGCTATTCACTATCTTGTCGAAAACCAAACAAATAACAGATAGCTGATCTCTTATGAATACTACTTAATAATACTATACTATTATTAATACTATATTATTTTAAATATCGACACTCGAGAAGAAAAAGTTATCGATATAAAGCTTAGTGAAATTTTGATTAGATGCAGTTTTAGCATAGATTTATAGATTTATATGTGTAACTTATTTATATAAGTTATATTTATATATACCGTATGTTATATATATTCATCGCTATTTTATAATCGATATCAACTGATTAATACCCTCAACTAATCTTATCTTTGCTTTTATTTTCCTTTTAGGTAAGTAAAAGATAACTTTTTGAATACAATCAGTGAATTGAGATCTGGAGCACTTTTGATGACGCATACTTATAAGTGGGTAACTAAAGCAATCTGATACGTATTTTATGCGAAACTTTTTGCAATTAAACTATTGAATAGCTTATATATTTGAAATATTTTTAATTACAGCTATAAATAAATCTATATATTTATTTATATATACACATATGTATTCATGCACTTTAGGCCTGAAGCTGTGTTACCATAAATTTTGAAGTAAACGTGTATCAATTTAATATGCTCGAGACGGACTAAGCACGAGCTTTATTTTTGTTTTTAACATTCTTTAACAATTACGAGTTCAATAGCGTTCACAAGAACTCAACAGTTGGCATTTAAAGCGCATAATTTGAATTTAAACGTATTGTTTTATTTATTATTTTGTTTTCCATATTGTTGCTGCTTTAGGCTCTGACAAAATGTCAAGCAACAAATGAGCGCAACAAGTTAATTATATTAAGCTGATCTTTACAATCAAACGCACTTTATGACTAATTACACACGTAAATGAAGCTCGTTTATCTTGTCAGCACCTGTGTTAAGAGACTGATCGAGAGCGAGAGCGAGAGCGAGAGAGAGAGAGACAGAGAGAGTGAGAGAGAGCACAGAACAAAGACAGAGAGCAAAAGGCTACAGACAAAGAGAGTTGATTTTTTTTTTTTGCTGTTTCTATCTCTTTCTGTTTTAGAAGAGCATGGCTGCAGAAAAAAGTGTCAAATCAGCTGTTGCAGCTTGGACACATCTTGCAGAGAGCGTGACCATTGCGGAGTCAGCGTCTTCAGCTTGATGCAAAGCTCTTGGCGTATAAGAGAAGAAAAGAGCGCACTTATACACACACACACACACAGTCAAAGCTGGGCTCAAATGGCGCTCGAAGCGCACATAGTTATATACTCTTACACTTATACTGCTTGTGAGTGTGCGTGTGTGTGTGTGTGTAAGACGTACCGCTGCGTCGTTTTCGTGCGGTTTAAAACCTTTCTATAAAAATTTCATAAACGTATCAGTTGTCTGCGAAGCGGTGCACAAAACAGACGTCGAACGGAAGGTGGCAAAACGATATTGAAGAAAATCAATAAATATTTATATATCAAGTCCAATACAAAATAACGTGTGTCTATCAAGCATAAAATTTATATATATATATATACGGGTATATATATAGGAAATTCAATTCAATTCAAATTGCAAAAAATCGCGCTACATCAAAACTTTGTTGCACGCGTGCGCGGCATGTTGGCATACTTATAGCTGCAACTGTTTTTCTTTGTTAAACAGTGGCTCTAAATAACGTTCGTCTCTATATCTATTCGTATGTGTAAATATCTATGAGTGTGTGTGCGTTTGTATGTGTGTGTGTGTAACGCGCGTGTTCGTGTGTGCATAAAAGCACTTACATTGTGATATGGAGCAGCAGCAGCACGCGACTTTGCAACATTTCTTAGCTTAGCTACATGTTGCTACAACATACGATCAAAAGGTAGAGATGAAATCTTCACTGCAAGCAACAACAACAACAGCAACAGCAGCAACAACAACAACAATAGTGTTTATTATAGTTGTTTGTTGTTGGTTGTTGATTATTGTTGCTGTTAGTGTTGTTGCTTGTTTATTTGTTTGTTTGTTTGTTGTTGTTGTTGTTATCTGTTTTGAGAAGTTGTGCAGAACTTTCTATTTTCTTTGCCGTTTCGTGCTGTGCTTTTTATAGCTATAGAGCTTAACTTATTCCGATACAAAACTAGACATACAAATATATATATACATATATATAAGTATCTTTGCTTGTTAGAATTTCAATGAATGAATTTCATAAGAACTTTTGTTGTACGTCAACAGTTGCCTGTTGAGCATAATTTGTAGCTGATTAAGTTGGTTCTACATTTACGTAATGCCCAAAAACTATTGGCTAAATAGGTCTATTGAACGAGTTGCGTTTACATCCTCTAACTTTATCTGGGACTATGTGCTTAAATGTGCATATTTTGTGGTCAGTTTTTGTAAGTTTTTGCAGCAGCTCGCGTTGCCTGCAAAAACACATTTCTAGAGAGGAAAAAACCTCTTAACGGGCGATATAAGTGCCTTAGTTAATGACACTTGGCCACATGTCGATTATATATATATACATACGTACACATATATCTTCATATATAGTACTATAGTTTACTCGACATTTCGAATTGGTTTAGTTTATTATTTTTTCTATATATATATTTTTTTTTTGCTTTGCTGCAAAGCTATTATCAATTTTGAACTTACGTGACTTGAACAAATTGCATTATTTTGCACATACATGCCTACACATACACATACAAATACATATGTACATATAAGACATACATATGCTGGCATCTTGGTATAGTTTATAGCGGGCTCCACAGCTTGGTTTCCATGTCTGGCTGCGGTTTTTTTTTTTTTCTTTCTACTTTTATAATTCTTGGACTTCATTTAAGCGCGTTTTCTCTTATCGCTATTCAAGCGACATGTGACGACGGTTTTTTTTTAACTATGATTTCCAGACACTTTATGGAAGTTGAAGAGTTTTATTTATAAGTATGTGTATGTATATAGAAACAAAATAGAAAACTTTTCACTGTCATAAATAAAGTGTGAAAACTAATGGGGAATGTAAGTAATTGAAATATTTTTAGAAATTTAAAATAAAATATAAGATACACAATATATGGTTTCTTATTGAAATAAGACCCAAAATATAATAGTAAAAGTCTTGTAAAATATGTATATGCAACATTTTCTGCAGTTATACAATCAGTTATTATGAATAGAGTTTATAGAGCGGTTACAGTTAAACGGTATATCTGTATATGTCGCTATTTGTATTCAGGCTCTCTCTCCCTTTTCTCTCTCTCTCTCTTTCTCTCTCTCTCTCTTTCTCTCTCTCTCCCTTTCTCTCTCTCTCTCTCTCTCTCTCTCTCTCTCGCTCTCTCTCTACCTCTCTTCGTCACTCATACATATATTTTTCTGCCACTAATATAACCTTTAATCAAGATTCCCTATTACATATTTTACTAGGGTATATCTTAGTTGAGTTTTTTATCTGCTGCAAACACATTTGATGTGTTTTGATTTTACAGCGTGTGCTGCACAATATGTACGAATATTCCCACACACTCCTGCCACTATCTTTATTTTGTGGCTGTTTTCTGTAGACATTTTGCGTCACAGTTGGCGTGTGGCGGCTGCTGCTGCTGCTGCTGCTGTTGTCTCTTCTCTTTGAGCCATAAATTTCCTGTCCATGAGTCATGCGGTCGTCAGTCAGTCGACGGCCGTCAGCGGCAAAACGATTAAGATACAGATACATACGCATTCACACATACACATACATATGCAGAAATACTCCATATACTACATGCATTTTACTTGAAAATACATGAAAATTGTTTACAAAAGGGCGCAAAGGGTAAAGAATAAAAGTAAATCAAATAAAAACGGAGTTATTCAGAGCAAAACAAAGACAGCGAAAAAGCAGCTCAATTCTTGTTGTTGTTTTCTTGTCTGTCGAACTGTCAGGTTTTATCTGTGAACAGTAAATGTTATACAGCTTTTTTACAGTTAAGGCATGAGAACAAGAGAGCAGCCTGAATTGAAACAGAACTGAATGCAACAATAAGGTCGTTGTAATATGTTATAAACAATTTCAGTAATACAAGTTGTGACAGAAAGCTATTCAGGTAATGAAATTAAAAGAGAAAAAATAAATAATAAATAAATAAGTAATAGTAATAAATGAAACCCTGTTACAATTAATTTTCTGTTATTTTAAAGCAGTTATTTTTAAAAGTAATTTATTTGCTTTAAGGAATACAAGCCTTATACGAAGCCTTCAATTTGTTATATTTAGTTATTAATATAAAGCTGATTCAAATGTTCATAAAATATGCAGTTTTATTTGTTTTATAAACGATTTACATATCTAATAAAAAATCGATCAACTTCCTGTCTAGAACTAGGCATTGTGTGGAATTTTTATTTCACTTTTGGGTATTTATATCGATTCAATTCCTACTGAATTATATGTGTTTATATATGTTTGTATTCATCATACTTATAGGTATATACACCAAATATTTTTATTAATATAAAGTTGTCTTTGGTGAAACTTCCTGTCGGAATTTCTAAAGAAATGTAGCTAACCATAAATGTATTCTTGGTAGCAATATAAACTCAAATCCTGCTTTTATATGACGAAAATTTGTAGGAATTGCTAGTCGACGCTTAATCATATGCATTATATGTAGATCCATGACCTTAGCACTTAATGCATTCACTTGTTTATAAAAACTCCAAATTGACAGTTATATGAAATCAAAAATTTGTGCGAATTTTGAGCGATGGAAATTTCCCACAATGACGTATACTTCTTGGAATTTAATACCAAGAAATATAAAGTTGTTTGCGTTGTTTTTTCTTTGGGGTATTTCATGCTTAAAGTCCACAAATCGAAACTGGTTGTCGAAGGAGCTTCACTCTCATTTTTTTTTACGTACATACTTCAGGCAAAACACACAGCTTTCGATCTTCTTTCGATACCCTGAAAGTGGTGGGAAATGGGTATGATGTATAGCTTAAAGTATGTGCAACAGGTAGCAGCAAAAATGGGATGAAGTTTTTTGGTTAAATTGACTTGATCGAACTTTGTTTAAGAGCTATAGACTTGAATGTAGGATTATTTTGACTCGAAAGTCAACTTTGTTATATTGATTATCGATAAGTGCTATAAAGTAGATATTGAACTTCTGTATTTTGTAACAGCTTCATTTAAGTATTCTCCTATAGCTTCAAGTCGAGTTCTTTTCAGCCCAAACTGAGAGAAACTCCAGTCTATAGATCCTTTGCCTATTGTCATGTCCATATAGTTTCTCCACATGTGCTCTAGCGTATCTTCTAGTCAAGCCCTCCCCACTAGAGCACTCTTGTTTTCTGCTTCGTTTCGTTTTGGAATTTTTTATTGTTGTTATTTTTGGGAAGCTATTTAAGCTCTAGCCTGAACAGTTTCCAGGCCATTTACAATAATTACATCCGAGGCTGTTCAAAAATGTAGCTTTTTTTTTGTGCTGGGTGCGCTTTTTTCGGGGGCTGCTGAACTCTTCGTGTCCAAAGTTATTTGGCGCTACTAAATTTAGTCGACGCTCTCGTTACCATTGTGCAATGACCCAAATCAAAGCCAAGCTTATTTTTCGTCTGTTTTTTGCCTACGTTTTGTTGTTGTAGTTGTTGTTTTGTCTGTGTTAGCTGTGTGAGCCAACCAAAGCTATTTTTTTTTTACAATTTTTAAACTTGGTTTTAATTTGCACATAAAATGGAAGCTGCGCTCTGGGCTGTGCTTTTTTTTTTTGTGTGGAGAAAGTATGTGTGTGCTCGTATATTAAAGTTTTAGCTCGAATTGCCATGTCTGTCGCGCCTCAAATTAGTTGATTATTAATAATTTGGCGTGTGTGTGTGTGTGTGTGTGTGTGTGAGGGGCGTGGCGACGGCGCATTTCATAATTTGCTTGGCAACAAATGCTTGGCAACAATGTTGCGGCCAGCAAACGTTTGACAGCATTGTTGCTAACCAAACAGCCAAACGCTTGACTAATCTACACACACACACACATACACATGCACATACTGAGCCAAAGACAATGAGCAAAAATGGAAAATACAAACCGGTTCAAATTGGGTCGTAGTACTTTTGAGTGCAATTGTTACCTTTGAGCAGCAGCAGCAGCAGCAGCAGCAAAAACACGTTAACAATGGTTAACACTTCACTCATTATGGCTGGGTTATTATGTTGGTCTTGTTTCAGTTTTCTTGGCACGCGCTCCAAAACCAGCCGAGAGTCAAGCCAAGCCAAGCTAAATAACAAAACTCAAATGTTTTTTTATTTATTTTTTTTTGCACCGCCTACACCTTGATTTTGTAACGTATTTCAAATTCGATTAGCATAGGTCAGTCTTGCAGAAGTCTCGGTAGGGGGCGTGGCAGGGCTACTGCCTTCCGCTGCTAACCTTGCTAGTTCTAATGCCACAAGCTTTGGCATTCCATTGACAAAACGTCGCAAAACCTAGAAACCAAAATCGTTTATTAATCATCTATTAGCAGGCATTTCAGTTTTTGCATACCCACAGTCCGTCTGACTAATACTAGTGTTAACCTTCCGATTCGTGAAAATCATTTTAAAAATTGAATTTAATTATTTTATTTATTTTTGTTGAGCCAAAAGTGCATAAGTGCGACTTTGTTTTGCTTTTGTTTTTTAATAAAACAAAGCTTGTGACTAAATTCAGCTAATAAATATATGGTATATGAATATATTCATAAGCATATATCTTTTCTTATCTACAACCACTTTCGTCGGTGGTTCTGGTCGGACAGGTTTGATGCGTGCTTTTATATATGCGTTATATGGGATTTTTTTCTTTTTTTTTCTAATTGTTGCTTTTGTTTTGGAGCACAGCTGTTTTGTCTTTTTTTCTCTTTAAAAGAAACAAAATACTCATGTGACTACAATATGTTATTATACGCTATGAAAAGAAGTCTTAAGAACGGTTTGAATAGAAGCTCGTATGGATTCTTTTAAAGTTTACACTAAAAAGTGAAACGAAAAGCGAAAACTAAATTTGTTCGATATTTTAAACAATAACTTAACGATTAATGTAATCGATTAATCGATAATTTGATAGATCCATATATAAATCATAGAATAACTTTATAAACTGGGTCATCTGCACTACACCAAGCCTACCGATCAATCACATTTCATAATCGATAAATAATGGCCCACTATTAAGCAAGCTAATCACAAGTTTTATACCCTAGAAGTCATAGTTAGTAAATTGCTCAAATTTATCAATCAAAATTATAGGCAAACAAATATCTCAGCTTAGAACAAATTTATTTCTTAATCGATAAAAATGATTTACATTTAGATAAATTTCAAAGGCTATTAATCAAAGATTTGGTGACAGAAAACCTACAATAGAAGTCTTGAAATAAATTTTAAAAGTAATATAGCTAAACAATTTGTCAACTTATAGCACACAGATCTAAAAAGATTTATCAGTATTTTAAACTTTTATTTATTAGTTGTTTTTGTTTTATGTTACAGCATTTAGAATGTTTACATGTTGTATAAAATGTAGGAGAAAGATCAAGATAGAATGCAAATTTAATTAATCGTTTAAGAACCTCTCTATCTAACTCGGTCATCTTAAGCTGTCCCGGCATCTCGTAATAGAAATTCTTTATAGCTTATTTGAGTGCATAATGGAGAGGTTTTTGAAGATTAATTAGATAAAAGTAGAGCTCAAACATCAAAGGGGAACGCCATTCAGATGGAATGTAAGCTGGGATAGTCTTCAGAGTAAGGAATTATCTTGGAAGAGAAACTAGAAGGAGATATTTGATATCTCTACTCTATAGAACATATCTTATATATGGAATATATAATATAGATACTCTTTACAAACCGGGCACGTCTTAAAGGCAAAATGTTTCAATATTTTGTCTTATCCACCTGATGCCCTATAGCAGTTTGTTTCTTTCCATACAATAAAATTACTTATAATAATTTTTTTTTGTACGTCTTAAAAGTAAAATATTTAGTTAGCTTTTTGCATTCTTAAATTATGCATATTGGATATTGAATCTTAAGCCGTCTCTCAATTTATGGCTATATATGTACATAAACAAAAAAATTAAATTCGAAACGCCTTGATGCAGTTTTTGTCTCTCTCTTTTTTGTATTGTTTGCTGTTTTCGATTTCTTTTGTGGGCTGACATTGACATTTGCTGATGCTGTTGTAGGTAATATTGCTGCTGCTGTAGCTATAGTTGCTGTTGTGGCTGTTGTGGCTGTTATTGCTGCTGCTGTTGTAGCTGATGTTGCTGTAGTTGCTGCTTCTGATGCTGTAGCTAGATAGTGCTGCAGCTGATATTGCAGCTGCTGTTGCAATTGCTGCTGTTGTAGGTAATATTGCTGCCTGCTCCTGCTCCTGCTTTTGTTACATCTGTTGCCGATGTTGCTACTGTTGTAGCTAACATTGCTGCTCTTGCTGTTGCTGCTTTTGGAGCAAACGTTGCTGTTGTTGCTTCTTTTACTGCTGTTGCAGTTGATATTGCTGCTGTTGCCATAAATATTGCTGCTGCTGAGGTAGCCACTGCTGCTGCTGCTGCTGCTACCTCTACTGTTCCCATTGTTGTTGTTGTCGGCTGTTGTTGTTTTTTTTTTTTATGATCATCAGCTACGTTCGTTTATTGTCTTTTGTGTGTAACTAAAGCCATTTGTCTCCAGTCTGTCTCGCAGGATGTTCACTTCAATGCTTGCCTAGGCTGTTCGCTTCTGAGCATCTGTAAATCGCTTTTCGTCTCAAGTGCCCGCCTCTTTTCAGCACCGCCCCTACCCGGCCACTCCCCTGCCCCGATCTTGGGCTGTTTGCTTTGTCGGCATGTTGTTGTCAGTTAGTCAGTCACCGTAAACTTGAACTGCTCTGCGACTGCTGCTGTCCAAGTTGTTTCCATTTCCATTTGCGGCAATGCAGCCTTGAAGTCACACTTATTTACATACTCACGCACACACAGACAGTCGTACGCACACATGCGTACTCTCATGCACTTACATGGCATAAAAAAAAGTTCATTGGTCAGCTAATGAAGCCCACCTTCAGTTGCTATTGTTGTTGTTGTTGTTGTGGTTATTGGCCGCATTAAGCTACGTCTCCACCATAATTGTTACCAATTATTTCAAGCTCAAACAGCCCACTAACAAAAAATTATAATAAAATAATCTGAATTAAAAAACTTCACAAATTTTCATGGAATTTTACCAAAAGTTGTCACTCGACTCGAGTCGTTCATAAATCTTTGAACCACAAAATCTTAAAATGATATTTGCTTAGTTATAAATTTGTTGGCAACGTCTAAGAACTTTCAGCCATTATAATCGTAAATAAGCTTATAAAACTTGTTTGTACAGCTGTCCAAATGCATAGTTCGTAATTTGTAGAAATCAAATACTCGAACCATCTTTCAACTGGTACCAAATTATATATACATATGTAGATATTATTTGTGTCTTTAACTAATTGCCCCAACTAACATGTGGTCAATTATAAACAATTCCACAGAATTCTGCGATAAATAACATTGTATGCTATATAAATAACTCATTTTTTGTTTAACTCAATTCATTGGAAAACATATTTTTCTTCGTCAAATTCCTGCTCTATGTTGATGTTGCTTGAAGTGCTGCAGCTATTGTATGTTCAGGTTGAATAGCAAAAGTAGTAAGTGCAGTTCTTACTATAAAGTATTCCAGTTTTGTTGAGCAGCCTGAAAAACCTGAAATATCATTCTATTCCCTAGTACATATGGCTTATGGCTATAACGCGCTATGCGTAAATATTTATCAGCTGCCTAAAATGTTCCAAGTACTTTGATTTCTGTTTATATTACATGTAATGAGCTCTTTAGCATTAACATTTATTTGACATTTGGCGGAGTAACATTTCTAGCTTAACATATGTTCTGTTAAAGCTGTTAACAGAGTTGCAGGCGCTCGAAACTATCTGTTTATGTTATCTTACATGTCGTGTATTGTTTAACTTCGGTTCCTTGATGTACCTTTTGAAAAAACAATGAACTTTTACAATTGTTCTTATCTTTCAACATTTTCTGTTGTGCCATGCACTTGTTTTATAATTAACATATGTTTAATTAAATCGTTTTCACATTTTTTTCATTTCTTCCAACAATTTCTGTTATAGATAAAGCTTAACAGTCAATTCAAACTTTTTTTTTTCCTATTTTCTGCAGTTGTTTTTGAATGAATTTAGCCTTTGCGATTGACCAAATCAAATCATCAAATATATATATTTATATATGCTATATATATACACTATAAAGTGATACATTTTATGGCAGCGTTCAATTCCATCACATGCAAATCGCATAAAGTATTCCAAAACTGACAAAAGCGCCATCATTTTGAATGGCATCCACACGACGCAAAAATTTGTTTTTGTTTTTTATTTACTTTATTTTGCTTCTATTTTTGATGTTTGCCAAACCGTATAAAATACTAAATAGATACACAACATTTTGTCATTAACTGTGAAATGTACTCGTTTAGCTTGTAGATTGCAATTGCTTTTGTTTCATTTTTCAAGGTTGTCTCTTTCTCACACACTCTCTCTCTCTCTCTCTCTTATACTCTCTTTCTCTATCTCTTGATCCAACTTAAAACTTAAACTATTCAGAAATGTTAACGATTGAAAGACTGAGAAAAGATTGAAAGTCTGAGAAGCGGAATGGAATATCTATCGATCGAAATCTTAATCGAAAATCAAAACATAATATTGACAAGTTTATTTGATAAATGAAACCAACTCTGCTAATGAAAATGTTAAACCAAGTCTTTCAAATGCTAAAAGCAAAGAGAAAATCTTTACTGAGCGAATTTTAGAACTCTCGGACTTTCCTAATATTCAAAAAGTTGGGAAAGTTTGAAAGGAAAAAAAAAAAAAAAAACAATTTAAGCTTCAGCAATTGAAATGTTTATAGCAATAATTTGATACTCATAGGGTATCTTATTGTACGACTCTAGAACTTGAATATTTTAATACTCCATAATGAAGTAGAGTAATTAAGTTTGTGCTTATGAATATGCAAGAGCGGAAAATGTTTTCAAAACGAAACTAAAGTTTGCAAATAGGAAATCGAAAATTGGAAACAGAAAACAGAAAACCGTAAATTTAAAACTGAAAACAGTGTAAAACAAGTAAAAGCACTTGGGCGCAGTACGAAACAATTGTAGGAAAAAACACCGTAAAGTTCAAAGAAAGTTAAACAACAACAGCAACAACAACAATAACAACGAAGGAAAATGAAAATGGGTGTTTTTTCTTATATATATATATTGAAGTGTTTTATTTTCTTTTTCTAACAGTTTGTTGCCCGCTCGCTCGCACAGTCTCCGGCAAAACGAGGGAGATTGACAAAACACTTTGTGCCGAGCGTCGTACATTGAACTACTGTTATTGTGTTGTGCCGGTGTTGTAGGTATTGGTGTTGGTATTGGTGTTGTGTAATCCGAGCAAGATGACCACCATGCCCGTGGTCTGGTGCACCGATCCCAATTCGGTGAACAACAAGCCAACGGCCTTTGCTCTGCATGGCATACAGCTGCAGGGCAATGTGACCGAGAAGCAGGTGAATGCATTGCGCGAGCTGGTGAATGCTGCGGCCGAGGGACGCCTCATACTGCCCTCGGACGGTACGTTTATGCTGTTGGACAGCGGCCTAAGCATCGAGAGCTCCATATTGGCCGGAAGCAAGCAGACGGCGAATGAGAGCAGCCAGGTGGATGCGCCCAAGAATGCCAAGAATACGTATATATTGATGCCGGTGAGCAATAAGAGTGCAACAGCAGAAGGAGTTGCCACTGCAGCAGCAGCAGCAGGAGGAGGAGGAGGAGGAGGCGGCGGAGGTGGAACAGCAACAACAGTTGCTGGCAATGCACAATGCACGCCGGCAGCAATTGCAGCGGCAGCAGCCCAATTGGAATTCCTGCTGGAGCCAAAATATTCGACATTATCGTCGCCGCCACCCAGCACGACGCCCAGTTCACAGACGGCGGACAATGAGACATCCGATGAGATATTGTACGAGTTTCTCTGCTGTGCCAAGTGCATGAACGAGCAGCGTACGATCGGGCATAACGGCACTTGTGGCAATCGGCGTTTGCAGCGATTCCTTAGGCATTGCAACAACAACAACAACAACAACGGCAACGGCAACGGCAACGGCGGCAGCATCAGCAACAGCAACAGCGGCAGCAGCATCAGCAATGAGCAACAGCAGTTCAATGAACCTCTGATTGATCTAGATCCTGTGTGCAGCATTGCCAGCAAATATGCAAGACGGCAACAGCAGCTGCGTCACAAACAGCTGTCGACCATCTCGATGGGCATTGCACGTAATCATCGGTCCAATGGTCGTCATCATGGCAAATTACCCATGCACAGTGTGAAAATCTTTCATAATCGCAGCAGTTACACTACGCTCAGCGGCGCGTGCACCATGAGCGTGGGCGTGGCGGCAACGACGACGTCGGCGGCTACAACGACGACGGCAATTCCCAGTGACAGTCGGCTAACGACAGCAACAGCAACAGCCACAGCCACAGCCACAGCAATAGCAATGCCAGCCAGAGTTGAATCGGGCAGTTTAACGGTGACAGCGGCGCTGTCAACAACACAACTGCCCAGCGTAACGCCGCTCTATGCGATTGTGAGCAAAAAGCGTGACGCGAACTATGAAAAGAACAACAGCAACAACAGCAGCAACAACAGCAACAACACTAATAATTTCAACAACATTATGTTAGCTGCCGTGCCAGAGGAGCCCAGCGTTAGCGCTACGGTTAAAGATCTAATCAGTTTTGAGGATGACGATGTTGTTGTTGAACAACAAACAAATGACAGTTTAGCCAATAGAGCAACAACAACAACACCACCAACAACAACAGCAGCAACAACTACTAATGCTAACAGCAACTGTGATAATCAAGTGGATTTACTGTGCGGACCCAACGATGTTGCCGAGGATGGCAATCTGTTGTCGCTTTCGCTGCTCGTTACGCCGCCACCAACACCGCCCAAGCCAAGTTCGCCCGGCTCAAATAATTCGAGTCGCAAGACCAGCTTTGATTCTACCTGCACGATTAGCTCACTGGACTCGGGCTTTATGGAAATGCAAAACAAATTGGATGCACTGGCAGCAGCAGCAGCAGCAACAGCAACGCCAGCAACAGCATCGGGCGAGAAGATAGCCAGACGCAACTATAAGGAATGCCTGACGCAGTCGCGCAATCGTCGCAAATCCTATGAAGAGTTTAAGGCCATGTTTGCTGAGGCGGCACAGCCGGAAGCGTTGGCGCGACTCACGCGACGACGCAGCGGCGCAATGCAGGAGCAACTGCAGCAGCAGCAGCAGCAACAAGTGGGTGCTGAGGCGGCTGAGCTGCTCGTGGCGACAGATGACGCAACGTCAGCAGCAGCAGGAACAACAACAACAGCGGCAACAACAACAACAACTACTACCACTACAAACAGCAGCAACACTGTGATGACAATGCTCGCCTCAATATCAGAACAAGAAACCACAAGCAGCAGCAACAACAGCAAAAACAACAACAACAGCAAACCGGATTCTGAAAACGAGTTTGCGGATGAAATGGATACCGGCGACGATCTAACAACAACAACAACTACAACAGTTGCTACCGCTGCCGCCACCACAGAAGCAATGCGCAAGAATTCAGATTTTCTATCGCAAATACTTGATCAGCAATTGGCGGCCAAGGAGGAGCAGCGTGCCAAAGCGCACAAGCGACGCACATCGTACGAGGAGTTCAAGCGGCTTGTGCGYGAAATCGATGCCAGCAGCAGCAGCGACATGGAGCAGCAAACGCTGGAATGTCAGCAGCAGCTGGACACACCCACAACAACAGCAAAGGCAACAACAATAACAACAGCAGCAGCAACATCGTCGTTTAAGCGACAGAATTCGCGTCAGCGTAAAAGTTTTGCCTCCTACTTTTTGCCGCGACGCCACTCGGCAACCAAAGAGCCAAAGACTGAGCAAATTGAGCTGGTGGAGCCAGAGCAGCAGCAACAGCTGCCACAGCAGCAGCAGCAACAGTTGCAGGCATATGCCAAAATGGCCAGCAGGAATAATAGCTGCAGCTCCAGCGTCAGCTCCACTGCCACCTATAAGCGTAATTTTAAAATCTATGATAAGCTAGTGTACGGCACCATCTACGATATAATACAGCGTAAGAACGATATCTATCAGTTGACCTATCAGAAGTACGATAAGTATATGACCTACGGCACCATCTATGAGATATTGCACCGCAAGGCGACGCCGATGCAGGGCAGCAGCTCGCTGACAACGGGCAGCGGCGACAAGTGGCAGCGCAAAAGTTTGAGCGCAATACTAGAAGGCAACGCGACGGCGGCAACAGCAACAACAACAAGCCCAACAGCAGCAGCAGCTGCCGCGGCTGCCGCGGCTGCAACAACTGCGACAGCAATGGAAATGCATAAATCAAATGATGTGATTTATGATATAATACAAAAGCAGCAGCAAAAGCGCGAAAAGGAACGCCAGCAGCAGCAGCAGCAGCAGCAACAATTGTTGCAACAGGATGCAGCAGCAGCAACAGCAGCAGCCACTGAAACAACAACGGACAACAGCACAAATTTGGGCACGCATGTCACGCACAAATATGGCACAATTTATGACATCCTACAAGGAGAGAAATTGGAAACCAGCGAGGAGGCAAGCAACAGCCACAGCAGCAGCAACAGCGGCAACACAAAACCAGTTGTTGCTGCCACATCGCGTTTTGTGGTCAGCCATGTGGATGAACAACAGCAGCGGCAGCAGCAGCAGCAGCAGCAGCAAGACAACAACAACAGCAACAGCAGAAATGTGATTGCCGACACGAAATGCAGTAAAATGCGACGCTTGTCCAATATTCTAAGCTACAACAAATCAGGCAACAACAATGCTGCGCCACAGGAGGCCGACAGCAACAGTGAACAGCAGCAGCAGCAGCAGCAACAACAACAGCAACTGTTGGTGCCGGCTAAACGCAGTCAGGCCAAACGTCGCGTTGGTGTTAGCAATTTGTTGCTGCCGCTCGACTCGGAGGAGCTCTATACGCGCATCATAGCACAGCAGCGACGCAATGCTGGCAACAATTGCAACGACAACTGCAACAACAACAACAACAGCTCTGGCAGCGATGCCGATTGTCACATGTCGCTTATCAAATCGAATTCTCTGGATGCCATTTCTATGTCTGTGGCCATATCGCCGCCGGCCACGCCCTCGCCACCGCGCCCACGCCGCAGTCTCAAGCAGCACAAATGCCTGCAGCAGCAGCAACAGCAACAGCAACAGCAACTGTTGCTGCTGCCGCCGCTTATGAAGAAGCATTCGCTAGATAATTGCCCAACAGCGCCAAAGATGTTGCAGCCGCAGACGCGTCGCTGGTCGAATCAAACGCTGCTCAAATGCACCTGCCACACGCTCGAAGAGCCACGGCATTGCCATAGTAATAACAATAGCCATTGCACTTGCCCAACGCCCCCGCCGCCGCCGCCTCTGCCACTGCCTGTGCCTCTGTCGCCGAGCGCCTTCAATGCATTGTCTGCCATTGAGAAGTGCCGCTCGCTGCCCGCTGCCTGTTCGCATACGTGTGTTAATTTAATGGCCGCCGCTGCCGGCTGCGCCGATGCGGCGGCCAAGTCTAACAGCAAATCAACGGCAGCAGCAGCAGCAGCGGCAGCGGCAACAACACAAACTACGACAACAACAACAGCTACAACACAACTAACAGCGTTGACAATCAAGAAAGGCAAATCGCGTCGACTTTCGGAATTTACGCGTGGTGAATTTTTAAATGAAAAATCGTAAGTTTCGCCCTCCCATGCACCACCCCTCATGCCATCATGCCCTCAACCTACCCCACTCCCAACTGCCCGCTATATATTGTATCCATTAACTTATGATTAGACTATTGACAATAACATTTTGATACTATTTGCGGCTTTATGATAGACTTTGCCTTGCCATTTCATTTCATTCATAATATATATTCAATATAAAACATTTATACATATTCATATATGCCACATACCAGAATGTGTAAATAGAGAACATTATCACGTAATATGATATAGAAGTTTAGTTACTTCAATATAATAAGTTTTCGTACTTTTATAGTGTAATTTGATATGGTAATCCTATAAAAACTAAAATTCTATATACAATTAATGGCTGATACGTTAGACCTATACAATACAGAAATTTAATTCATTTTTAGAGCTGCCTGTTTTGTAGATCATATTATGTTTTTACAGTAATATAATATAGAAGTACAACTCTATTTATAGCGATATATAATATGGAAAGTAAAGACGTTTTAGTGGGCAAATTGTAATAGGAAATTAGATGATGCTAAAAGGTCTAGGAATGTTAAAGAAGGAAAACAGGAAAATATTATAAGAAATCGCCGAGAAGAGGAGAGAGTGAAGCTGAGGAAGAAAGACACAGGAAAATATTGTATGAGGTACGAGAGAGAGTGGGAGAATCTGGTGGCAAAGAAGACGGTTTCAGAAAGAGAAGGAAAGAGATCGTAAAAGGGCTCTAATGGGCGTCTTACCTAATATTCTATACCCTCAAGAGTAACTTTTCAGAAATATATACTAAATGATGTAATTTGTAGTGCATTTGTACCTAAAATTATGCATAATTTATGATGCAAAATAGCCGCCAAAGCCAATCCCGGGGCAGTCCACTAAAAGTGCTAAATCCCAGACACAGCTGTCAGGTAATTTGTGTTTTTTTTTTTTAATATTTGTTCAAAGTCGACAAATGTGTGTAGGGCAAAAACGTATGCAAAACATTTTCGCAGTACATGATATGACTTTCATTCTGTAGGAAATCAGTTGAAGATTGTTGAAAAGCAAAATAGAATGACTAATGATAATGCTATTGGCAATAACAAAGCACTTGACCATAGGTAAATAGTAGTAAATAAAGAGAAAAACCAATAATTGCAAAGTGGAAGCAATTATTAATGAATGACAAACGTCACACCCAGACTATAGAGCAATCTATGATGTTTGCTTTACAAGTAGGTGGGAAATATGCGAGTGACGAGGAAGAAAAACAAGTATGAATGCTGATGTTGGGTGACTGAGACTGTGTAATACTCGTTCACAGAGTGCAATCAAAGGCCCTAAATATATCTATAAATAGGTTAACTATTTCCCGATGTACCTACCCGTATTTGTTCCAAATTCGAATCTCTAGAAACTTCAGCAACTGCGAAATTTACATTCATACGGAGAGACGGTGTTCGGAAGGACGGACAGATAGACATTGCACAAAGCCAATATACTCTTCAGTACGTCAACGATAATAAAAACTATGCCAGTATGTCTCTATTTCTATTTGAGACTATTGCCTCGCTCTCCCTCTCTCTCCCTCTCTCTCTCTCTCTTTGTGTCTAGCTCTCTCGCTCCCTCCCTCTCTCTATCTCTCTTTCACTTTGTTGCGATCTTTCGCTTCCATGTTGTAATCGAGGTAAACGTCACGTCTTTATGTTATTAACCTGCCAATTATTTGACTATCAAAAATCAGTCAGGTACTCGTCAGCAGCTACTCCTCATTTTATACCTTGGGGTATTTGTAGTACCGTTTTTTTCCATACACCTCCCGTCTTTTAGCTGTTGCCATGCCCCCAAAAACAAAATAAAACAAAAAAGTCGTGACAATTTTCGAGACAGACTTTAATTAAGCGCTAAACAAACATGGTTCGACACATTTCAAATTTTGTTTTTTGGTTTTTGATTTTTTATTTTTGGTTATTTGTTGTTGTTGTTGTTGTTGTGTTTTTGTCTAGTCGTGGTTTTGTGTCAAGTGTTACATTCGCTTCGTTTTCTTTGAGTTATCAGCAAGTTTGCATTTGTTTGTCCACCGTTCGCTCCTCGTCTTTTTTTCGGGTTTTCGCCAAACACGTGTACCACAAGTACACAACAAAAACTTTGTGTGTGTGTGTTTTTTTTTTCTGTACAATTTCGTATTCAAATGCAAATGGAGGGTCTGAACCAATTTGAAATGCTTTGGCCTTGAAGTTGACGTGAATTCAATTTGTTTGACAAGTATTGGAGCAGTTTTGTATATGCATCATCTGAGAGATATATCTGCATAATAATGATAAATGCCAATGTGGAGCTGTTGGCAAAGATTTCTGCAAAAGAATAGTTATAGATTGTTGAATGACAGATTGAATTAATGCAATTTAAACGAGGGCAAAGATTTGGAATTGGACTTGATATAGCGAATAGTTAACAAAGAGTCGGAAACTAGAGGAAATACCGTTTAAGATTTTGCTCTAAATACAATTTATTTAGAGCAACGCAACAAATATAATTAAAATTTTATGCTGTATTGCCCCAAAAGTTGACTCACATCGATACTTATCGATTTTTCACAAACCTAAACCTGATTTAAGTAAACATTTGCCTTTGGTCTTTGAGGAGTTAACATGCACAGCATATTTACCTACGTGCCGGAGTACTTATTAGGAATTTCGAAATATATGTTGAAATATATCGATAATTATCGATTTATAAAGAAGCCCTAATCATCTATCTTCAAAATCCTTTGCCATATACTCAACAAATTTACTGCACTTGATATAGACAAGGGTAGAGTATTAAAATGGCTTTACCTCTCGATCATATGTCTTACCCTATGTATCAATTACTTTATGACTTAAGCCCACCCACGTTTTGACTTCTAGGTCGTAAATTAAAAAGACATTAGCGGCTAATTGCAAAGAATTTCGCAGATAGCCGAGTCACTTTTGCTGACAACTTTTTCGCAGTCATTCGCTCATCTACGTAAGCAACGCCAGCAATCGGGCTGTATGTATATACATCTACATCTATTGTAGTTTTCTCTATGGGTTTCTTCTATATATCGAAACGGTTAATTTGCAGCGACTGCAAATTGTCGGGGTGTGGCTATAATGTCATTGTCTTCGCTCTGACTATGCGTATGTGTGTGTGTGTGTGTGTGACTTAGTCGGCCCACCAAACTAAGCGTTGTTACTGTAGCGCCCACTGCAGCCAGTCATTAGCTTTCTGGATAGGGGTTATTATGTAAGTGAAGCACTAAATGCAACGTGCAGCACGTGTTTAATTCAATTCGATTCATTAAATATAAGGCAGTCATATATGTATATCTAATAGCTGACATTTATTTGCGAACTGCATTCAAGCGTTACTTTTTAATAGGTGGTCTCATAGTCGGCCCCTGGCGAAATTTGCATGAGGATTTGGGCTTGAGATTGAGATTCGATTCACGATATTCGCCAAGGTAACTAGATGGCTTAGTCATGTTTCAGAGAACACTCTATTGAGTGTTATGTAGTCTTAGTCTAAAATGATAGGCGAATAGGTATATATAGGAATGAAAATGGGATTTTTATAGAGTTTGATATGGTCTCAAATATAAAATGTACAAAATTCTATGTAATCAACATAGAAACGCAAAGACCTAAAATATCTAGAGATGTTTATTCATATGAGTCTCATAAAAATTCCTTTGATTTTATCGATTATCGATTAGTACTATTCAGATAAACTTGAAGACTAGTTAAATGTAGGAACTGAAACTTCTCCAGTACAATTATTAAAGGAAGTTTCTCGACTAGATCAAAATTTCTTAGAGAGTTATTAGAGATTTCATGAAACAACTTCTACTACCCAAAATTCCCACATATTATCGATTATAGTTTAATCGTTACCCTCTCGACTGAGTCTCTAGATCATTCTAAAGGCAAACAAATATTCTCGTAAGCGCAATTGCAGAGTATCTGAACAATTAGCAAGCCTGAATGCAAGTAATTGCCATTGTTTACAGTTGTTTACATACAGAGAACAATAAACTCAGATAGAGAGAGATATATATGTATATACGTAGATACTTTGCCGATAAACACAATAATAAACTCATGATTTCAGCTTTACCTTTCTATCCAACAAACCTAGACAATGCAATTGGCATTGAGCTGCATGCAGCTTGGATCTGATTTGTATATGTAAAAGTGTATATACATATAGATATATATATATATTTGTTTATATATGTATGTATATAAATTTAGATATTCACACAAATTGCTGTATAAAATATATTTTTGCTGACATTCTCCATAATTTTCCAGCCAAATTATCACAGCTTCAATTGCATTTGCGTGCCGAGTGAAAGAGAGAGAGAGAGAGAGAAGTCTTGTGTATTTTTATTTGCGATCTTATCTGGAAAGTGCATTTTTTGTTTAGCTTGCAACGCATTAGAAAATGTTCAGCAAATGTTGCACGTTGCACGTTGCCGGAACTTGATAATTTGCTTGGCGCTAGACAGACGCCGACTCCGTCTCTGACTCCGACTGCATCTCTGTCTACGGAGCTGAGTTGGCTTTTTACTTACAATGCATTTTATGGCCAGTGGCCGTTTCTATTTGCACATTTTCACTGCTAAAATGGCAACGCGTGCAGCGTGCAGCTTGCAATGTGCAACTTGCCACATTGCTGAGCAGATTCTTAACAGCAAGCGAGAAGAAAACAATTTTTAGTTTTTCTTTGTTGCAAGTTAAAAAAAAAATAAAGTTTGTCCGTCGCATTAGCAGCAAATCGAAAGCCTGGCATTAACAAATTATTTCTGCATAAAATTGTGGCCAGATCCCCATATATGTGCATACGTATGCAACATGCAACAGGCAACATGGGCAACATGGCATGCTGTAAATGCCAGTTGGCTATTGGCTATTGGCTATTTTTAGCTGCTATTCCAGGCTCTCTTGGCCATTAAGTTCGTCCGTCCGTCCGTTCGTCTGCAT